AAATTTTTTTTTTTTTTTTTTTTTTTTTTGAATAGTCAGGTCTGCTCGAGGTCAGGAGACCGTAGACTGACTGACTACATTTGTTTATTTACTTCTACACTATTGTCAAAACTGTCACTGTTACCAAGCCTACTGGGTATAAAAAAAATTTGAACATTTGGGGAAAAACCGCGTTTTTCAAGTATTCGGCAAATTTTTTCAGTATTTTTAAGACCCTATACTAAACTCGTTGCGGAGACAAATCCAACAAATCAAAAACCATGAAAATTGGTTCAGCCCAAATCAAGTTATAAGCAGTCTTCACTTTTACACAACTTTCTTTTATATATATAGATATTTGTATGTGTAATTGTTTGCATACGAATGCGTACTGATGCGTATGCAACTGCCGCTATGTACATATGTACATACATATGTACTATGTCTCCTGCTGTGATTGATAGGAGTATAAATGCATGTGAAAAGTATAATATTTAAATTTTAATTAAAATAAAAACAATTTACAAATATTTTATTTAATTAAATTGATTTGCATTCATTAATATTACACAGTCAATGACACACACTCTGTTTGCTTTGGCTTTACAATTTTTTATTAATTGATTTTGTGCAAAGTAAATAGTGAGGGAGCCGAGCGCCGTTCCAATTCCCTCTCTCTCTCTCTCTCTTGAATTTCTAGAGTGATCTACGAATGCGTCTGCTTCGTAAACACGAAGCTTGTGCACAGAGCGTGCGAATTGTCAGTGAGCATCGCGATGCTCTCCCTCTCTCTTTCTCCTTACAGTTGCCATTGAGCACACATAAAAGTAAACGTTGGCCTCACTCAGTTTTGCTCTCTTTATGCAAAGGCTGCAACCATACATACATGCAAGAGTGGCTAGGCGATGGTGAAGCAGCATGAAGAGAGGCGTGGGTCGGTCAATGAGCGAAGAGAGCTTCTTTAAATAGCAATGCAGACCAATTGCTCATCTTTTGTTTATTGACATTTATTAATTTGTTGATTGCTAAGTCTGCAATATACGTATATATAGACAAATATTTGGAAAGATGTATTTTCGATTTTAATTTTAATTTTTTCATTTTTTATAGTTATACGAAGTTTTTCATTTCCGGCTTCAACATGGCCATTTTGTTGCCAATAAAACTGCAACTTCTTTGAATACAAAATTGAAAAAAAAAAGAACACTGTAAAATGTATAAAGAAACCCTATGCAAAACTTGTGCCAGCCTCTGCCCAACCAGCCCTGGGTCCTGATGGTGAATCTTACTTTGTTTTTATTCCTTTTTCTGGCACTTTGGGCATACAAGAAACTTTATTAAAAAGTATGCTAGAAATTTTTGCATCTATGCGTCGCTCGTTTGCTATAACCGGGGGCAGGAAGTATTCACATCTCATTTTTTTTTGTTCTTGTTGTTGTTGCTGCTGTTGATATAACAGTATTTGTTGTTGCTGTTGAACAGATTGACATGAAGCGGCAGAATGAAATTGCAATTTCTTGTGATAAATTTCAATGAATAACCTGCCAAGGCAGCTACGGCTAGGGCTACGGCTACGTTAACGGCTACGGCTAGGTCTACGGCCGCCTCGGCGCACTAACGTTGAATGAAAATATGAAAATGTGTGGCATGCAAAATGCAAATAATTTGAGTGCACTTTGTTGTTCAATATGAATCAAGAATGAGTGATTCATGTGGCATGCTGCAACTGCTTGCAGAATATCATTACGCAACAGCAACATATTTTCGGCATAGTGGCAAACACGGCCAATTAACCGGTAATTGCAATCTAACACAAATTGCATTTTCCCCATTTCTTGCATCCATTTGCATCACATTAATAAACATGAGCAAGACTTGATTACTTCAATAGCTGCAGCTGCAGACAATGCAGGTGCAGATGATGCTTGAGTAACCAAATAATATTTCAATAATTAAGTTACATAATTTAATTGATAATGGAATAATTTGTAGACTAATGCGGTGAGAATAGATATTCTACTGAGTTGTATAACTGATTAAGTCCCTTTGCATACGTCATACATAATTCCATCAAATTTATTATTTGCATATCTTTCAACTGGCTTCATTTTCATTTGCATAAACTAAAGCTTGATTTTATTTTCCAATATGCAGAATTAAATTTTCTTATGATAAAATAAACTCATGAAAATCGAATAGAAGGGTACATGAAATTCTTGAAATTCATTCATATATTCAGACATTCTTATCGTTTTTTTAGTCCTTCGGCAATTTTTTCTCTTCATCTCCCTCGACTCTTCATTCACTCAAACTTTCTTTAATATTCAATATATGCTCCTTTGAGAATTTCACGAATCTGGGAAATTATCATTAACATTTTGACGACAGCTCTGAACGATAAGTGGGCGTGGCAAAAGAGCAGCTAGCTGCTGTCTGTAATCAGAAATATGAAATATCGTAAAATATTTATTATTTAGTTTGTGTTGGAGCAAGTTTTAAATGTGGCCGTTGGGATTGCTCACAAAATACAGCAAGAGGCAACATATATATGTGTGTGAGAGTGTGGGGGTGTGTGTATAAGTTATAATGTGTTGTGCCATTTGCGTAGTTGGCAAAGAAAAACGCACTGCTGTTGTAAACTTCGAGTATGGTGGCGTGGCTGGGGGGTGGGATGAATCGGCGCGCCTGGGTAAACTTTGGCACAGAAGTTTTCAATTTACATTTGAAATGCGCTGGCTTTTGTGCAGCTGCAGTTGCAATTAACGAACCATTAACTAATGTGCTTGAAAGCCCATTGATTTCGCTTTTGTATATTTCCCTCGCCAAACACAGCCGCCGTCTTGGCCAATCACCATGACAGCCTGACGCTCAGTCCGAGCGAGCACAGCGTCGTGCGCTACACCAACGAATCCCTCATTGTCGAGTGCCGCGGCCCCGGACCGGATGTGAAGCTGCATTGGAAATCGCCGAAAGGCGAAATAATACGCGAGCACAAAGGACGCATACACATCGAGCAAACGGCGCCAGGTGAGTTCAATACCCAGCCAATGCCCAATACCCAATACCCAATACACAACAGCCAACAGCCATGAAGCAATTGAGCAAAGGACTTTCGCGCCAGCAGGCAGAACAAATAAATAAAATTAATTGCAACGTTTTACACGCACTCAAAGCGCAGTTTCCTTCTATTTTTCTATGCAGTTTACTTGGAGCTAGCTCTCTGGGCTAAGCGGAGCTATAACATAATGAACTTGTGAGCGTTTACACAGCAAATAGAATTGTAGCCCCTTTGGACTCACGAGAGCTAACAATGCTTCTTCAATTAACTTGCGGAAGAATGGATTAAGTTGGGTTAGAATGGGCTTCCCATGTATGTTCTTTAATTTGTAGATTTTCTGGCTGGTTAGTTAGAGTTTGGTACCAGTTGAACTAATTTAATTGATGGATGCCTTAAATTGTTACTGAAGGCTTATATTAAAAGTTCTTATAGATGAAGTTGGCTGGACTCACGAAGCAACCCCCAAGGCAGGAAGTAGATCAATATGGGCTTATTGAAGTCTTTATTAAAGGGTCAGAGATTAAGCTGAACCAAATTTCAAGCCACAAAATTAGTCGTATTCCATTTTCATTTTGTATAGACTTTAGATCAGCCAAAGGTAAGGCCAAGTTCTCAAAGTTTCATCCTAACAATGAAGCCAAGCACTAAATCTTTATATAGGAAGTTGGGCTGTACTTTACTTGATCAAAGTATTATTTTCTTATTGGGTAAAGTCTATTAATAGTATGTGCATAGTATACTAAATTATATAACCAAAATATAAAGCTGAAAAGATCATATTAAATAAAACTTAATATAAATTAAAGTCCTCAATAAATAAACATCCCATTAACTTATAAGTATTGTATATAAAAAACTCTGTGCGAGCAGAAATCACCTCTAGTCGTACAATAAGCTGCTCTGCGCTGTTTACTCACATTTAATGTTGATTTTATTCAGTCTTTTGCTTTTTTCTCATTTAACTTCCCACACAGAACAATTGAAAATCGTTTTTGCACACATCGCTCTGGCGGACAAGGGCAATTGGACATGCGAAACTGCGGAGGGCGGGCTGCATAGTAAATCGTTCGATTTGATTGTATATCGTAAGTACACAGATCGAAATGGGAATCGCAATGGCATTGGCAAGCCAACAACCACATTCATTAATTTTTCATTGTATTTTTCCGTTGACCACTAACAAAAAAAAAATGCAGAGAAAATTACATTCACCGAAAAGGATACAGTTAAAACTGTGAAGGAAGGTCAAAATGCGACAATATTATGCGAGGTGAAGGGCGAGCCGCAACCGAATGTCACCTGGCATTTCAATGGACAGCCCATTACTGTGGACGGTGAGTCGTCAGTCGGGAGTCGGACAGAGCTCTGTAATGAGCTTTTAGCTCCTTTACCCCCCACTCTCTCTATCCCTCTCTCTCCTTCCATGTTGTCGATATTTTCTGTATTTTTGTTTTCTTGCTGCACCCGTTTATCATGTTTCGCTCTCATTTTCGACAGCAAACGCCCCGAAATTCCGCATCCTGGCGGATGGTTTGCTCATCAACAAGGTAACGCAGAGTGACACCGGCGAGTACACGTGCCGGGCATACCAAGTGAATTCGATTGCTTCCGATATGCAGGAGCGCACAGTTTTGATGAAAATCGAACGTGAGTGTGATTTATGATTTTTTTCAACTCATACAACATAATAATGCACACTGGCCAAAAAGTTGGGAAAATTATGGGAAAAGAAAGCAAGAAAAAATGTGATGATATAATAATAATTTTATGCTGTGGGAAAAATAAGAGGAAAATGTTTATAGAAAATAGATTTATATGTTGCTTTTATTATTTTTAACGTGGTCAACCTAATGCGTGGTGGCAAAAAAATTAAAAATATATTATAATGTGCATTGGTTTGGTGGAAGAATCAGAATTTAGATCAAATATATATTTTTGTAAATAATAATTGAAATAGAAATGAACTATTAACAGAAATTATTGAATAAAATTTGAAATTAAAAAATTTCAATTGAACTATTTTAAATGCTATGAAGAAGAAATAAACCTAACTAGATTAAATGCTCAATTGAGCAGTAGTATTTAAATAGCTTGTTTTGTAGGTAAGAAAGTTAATCTGGGCTTAAGCCATTGACTTTGCAATAGCTATACTACTGGATTGAAGCTTAGTTTTATAAGCAAGTTCTATTCTTATAACTAAAATAATAATAGTGTCTGCTTTCAAATTAAATTGAAATTATAAAAAAAATGATTTATTGAAATAGATTAACAAATAAAGTTATTAATTTTAAAATTAAAAAATTCTGCAAAAAAATTTTTCATTTTGAAGATAGTTACATTTTTGTGACTCTTAATCTCTAATAAATAAGATAATTAATTT